GCAGTTCCACAGGAAGACACAGCTCTTCTCTAGGCTGGTGTTGACCTTGGGACCCAGGGTCTTGACTATGCTAGACAACCTCAGTTGGTCCTCCAGTTCTCCCTCTCTGCCCTACTTAGGCATAGCTTTCTTCTCAGACCATGCTCCAGGGTGACCGTGCTGAGAAGCCAACAGGTTGTGGCTAGAGAGTGAGGCTGTTTGCTTTCAGGGCTGCACTGAACGCTGTCCCTAGGGTTTTTATCCAGACATGTTTGTGACCTTGTAGTTTTCTTTCCCTTGGGCTTCCCTTGAGGATCAGCTCTTCCTAAGGTTGAGTTCAGTGCTAATGCAATCTCTCTTTACCGCTTTATGCCCTGAACCAGGCCATCCTTCTGAGTAGGGCTTGTCTTTTGGCGTGTGGCTTGAACTTCCAAATGGCCACGCAATAGGGTTGGGGCTCCCTTGCCATTTTCTTCCTGTTCTCCAAAACTTATTTTCAGAGCCAGGCCCTGAAGATGGATGGCCGTGATCCACTGAGTGGTGAAAGTATTTAGCTGTCATTCATTACCACTAATACAACTTAATGACTACAGAGCCAGCTGTAGGGCACATCTGGGGTCAGGCCTGACTTACAGCCTAGTGCCTGGGGTTGGGAGAGGGCAAGATCTCTCTCACCCCAAACCCATCTCCTTCTAAGGCTCGCATGTGAGGCGTGTGAGAAGCTGAACCCCACAAGAATATGAAGAATGGACTCTTCCAGCCACCAGCTCTATTCTCATAAGCAGAGATCCCTTCTCATTCCTGATCAGAGTGATGGAGAGAATGGAAGGCAAGTTCTAGGAACTCTGCCCAAAGTCCCACCCCAGTCAAGCCCTTCCCACCCCAGTCAAGCCCTTCGGGGACTTCCACGGGTGGGAGGAGGGGAGTAGAAGGCTCTTTCTTCTCCCACTGCCTGGCTCAGGCGCTTCATCAGGTGGAATGGTAGCCGGAGGGGCTGTGGTGGCAGACTGGCCCGGCGTTTATGTGCTGTGACTCTGTGGAAAGACCTCCTTCGGACCACTCCTGCCTGCCATCTCCGTCACAGCCGCGGTAGAACACACCCATGCCCACGTGCCAGGTGCTGTGTAGCACGGACTTCAGTGCTATATGGTAGTGTGTTATCATCATTTCTTTGTGCCAGTTGGTTCTGTGGTCACCTCCAGAAGCCGCATGTCCAGGGTCTTGGCCCCAGAGCAGCCTTGCCCTGCATCATGTTCAAAAGGCCAGAACCAGAACCATGGGTACTTGAGTTATTGCTAAGGATGGATCTCTCCTCCTCCTCTTCTGTGTGTGTGTGGGTGTGGGTGTATGCACAGATATAAGTGCAGGTGCTTGTACATATGGAGGTGGAGGAAAATGATATGTAGCCTCTATTCTTCTCCATCTTACTTTAAATTTATTTAATTTTTATTTTATGTGCATTAGTGTGAAGGTGTCAGATCCCTTGGAACTGGCATTACAGACAGTTGTGAGCCGTCATCTGGGAACTGAACCCAGGTCCATTTGGAAGAGCAGACAGCACTCTTAACCACTGAACCATCTCTCTAGCCCCTCATCTTACTTTTTGAAACTTGGTTTCCCACTGAACTTGAAGCTCAGTGTTTTTAGACTGTCTGGCCAGAGAGCTTCTTAGATCTCTTTGTCTTCATCCCTGTCACCCCTAACCCCAAACTCGGGAACTGCAGGCACCAGTGGCTGCTGGGGATTCAAACTCAGGTCCTCTTGCTTATACAGCAAGTGCTCCTACCCACTGAGCCATTTCCATAGTCTGGTTGGGTAGTTTTCTGGTGTATCTGTAATTCTCTGAAGCCCTCAGAGAGCATATTCGCAAACCGAGTGGTCCGTCTGTTTTCTGTTTATTTTTGGTACTGAGGTTGGAATTTAGGGTTTCATGCATGATATTGAACTACATCCCAGCCTGTGTTTTGTGCTTAATAAACAGTTTCCAGAGTCACCCTTGTGCCTTCAGTGGGCTGGCTTTGAGACTCTAGAACCCACATCTTCAAGGGCCTGCATCTAAGAGTTCTCATGTGCAAACTGCCTTGGCTTCTGTTTCGTTTCTTTTCCTGTTGCTGTGACGAAACACTCTGACAAAAGCAACCTAAGGGAGAGAGAACTTATTTCAGCTCACAATCCACAGTGAAGTCAATGTGTCAGGAGAGCATTGCATGTGTTGTCAAAAAGCAGAATGAGTTTGGCTAGTGCTCTGTCCTCTTTCTCTGTTTTATTCAGTCCGGGACCTTACGCTCGGGGAATGGTCCTACGCACCACCACAGTGAGCCTTCCCGAATCAGCTAACACAATCAGGACAATACCCGGCAGGCATACCCAGAGACCCATGCTCCGTCAGCTTGGCGGTTCTGGTGAGCCCCGTCTTCTGACAGCAGGCGAACAGATGCCTAACTCGAAGCTCTGAGCTGGGCACGATGAGACAAGTCTAGAATCCCAGCACTTGGGAGATTGAGGCAGAGACGTCAGATTGGTAGCCTGGGCTACGTAACATACCCTGTGGGGGAGAAGCCCCTCTTCAGAGAAGGTTTCCTTGGCAGGAAGAGAGAAAGGAGGCCACAGTTACAGAGGGAGAGCGTCAACTAAAGCCCAGGCAGAGTGATTCAGGGATACACGAATATCGGGACGGACGAGGCCTTCATCCAGACACAGTCGCACACACGTCTAATTCCAGCACTCGGGAGGTAGTGGCAGGAGGGGCAGCCTGGCTACATGAGACTGCTCAGCAAACACGCCTTCCCCATTCCCTGTGTGTTGAGGAGTTGCATGTGCTCACATACATGCTCTCAAGTCTGTGTGTTTGTGGAGGTACCCGTCGTGAAGGCTGCCCGTCCTGAGTTTGATCCCTGGATGTCACGTGGTAGAAGGAGAGAATCAATTCTTGCCCGTTGTCCTCTGATCGCTATACACACGCGATGGCACGCGTGTCTCGCTCTAATAAGTCAATAAATAAATGTAAAGAAAAGCAGCGTGAGTAGAGAGGATTTCTCGTGCTCGGCGCACTTCGGCTCTGCAGGGATGGCACCCGTGTTATTTTCACTTAATATTCCCCCCCACGCATTCGGGTTCCTCTCCCACCGCCTTTTCACGTCTGCAGGGTTCTCTTGTGTAATGCCATCAGCTCGTGTTCATCTCCTCTTCCCCACACATGACACTCCAGCAGCAGGGAAGGCTGGTGCCTTGGACTTATGTCCCCCGTGTCCCTGCCACCTCTCCGAGGTCGCATTCTCCTTCCAGTGACCCTAGAGCCACCAGCCCCTGCTGTGTGCTCTTGCTAGACTGTCCTCCCTGTGAAGACAAGAGCTGGGTTTTACGGCTCCCGTGCTCTGTCCTAGAGGCCTGCCTCGGTGGGTTTGAGGCAGACTTCCTGGTTGTCAGGATCCCTTAGGATGCGGTAGGGGAGTCTGTTCGTCAGTGCAGGTATCAGGAGTGTTGGGGAGCCGGGGCGCTGTGCCTGTAACAAATGCTGCAGGTGGTGGTATAGGGTCTGAAGATGCTCAGCGAAGGTTGCTTCTTGGCCATCCCAGACCACCTGCTGTGTGGGAGGTACCGTGTGCCTATTGGTGATCTGAAAGTAAAGGAGATGAGGTGATGGGTGGGGCCTTCATTGGGGGCAGCAGTTCAGATGAGGAGGAGCATGGGGAGGGGAGGGATCAGCAGCTGGACTCTTAGGACCAGCCAGAGTAAAGCCTGTGTCCTGAAGCGAGTGGGAGCCAGCAAGCTGGGAAGCTGGGCTGGAGACTGAGTTCAGTGGGAAGTGACCGGGCAATCTCAGTGTCCTCGAGGGCAGGAGCAGAGAGAATTGGGGTCCTGAGAATGGACGCCAGGCCACGGGCCAACTTCCCAAAAGACTCAGTTTAGATCGTGCTTTTGCCAGGTCATTGGCCTCTGGAGCCAGTGTGGGGTCAGCTTGTGATTGGGTCCCTGAGTCTCTGCATAAGCTAGAGTGGAAGACTGAATGCCTGCCCCCAAAGGTGCTCATGTCCCAATCCCTGCACCCGTGACTATGCGAACTCACATGGCGAAAGGAACAATGAGACACCATGAAGCAGGGCATCTTCCGAGATGAGATCATCTAAGCGTGTCCTCACATAAGGCAGACGGGAGGACCAGGGCTCAGGGATGGGAAGACAGAGCGGCTCAAGGATCAAGTGCTATGCTGCCAACTCTTGCCATGGAGCAAGGGGGCATGAGCCAAGACCACAGGCAAGTTCAGAAGCTGGGGCAACAGGGAATGGTCTCCCTATGCTAGCCTGAAAGCCCCATTCAGACCTGCCTGATCTCCAAAGCAGGGAAAGGATGTATTTGTGTTGTGGAAGCCACTAAGTTTGTGGTAATTGTTATGAGAGCCCCCAGGAGACAGTCAACCTGGCAGAGTCCTCCTCGTGGGGCTCAGAGCTCACACTGGAGAAGAGCTATAGTCAAGTGAAACTCATTAGACCTAGCAGTATCTCCAATACACTAAGGCAGAGGTGGGAAGGGGGAGGGGAGGGGAGGAGGGGCTGGGAAAAGGGAAAGGGAGGGAGCACCCCTCAGATGGCTCTTCCTCCGATGCTCCTCCCCTGCGGGTTGGAGTGATTGCCGGAACACCAGGGGTGCTCTGAGACTGTCCTGGCTGCAGCCCAGCCCAGCCCAGCACCAAGATCCTGTCCCCTAGCAGTCAGCACACGGCCTGAGATTACTTCCTGGCTATGAGCTCTCTGGAATTCCACCTCTGAGGCTGGCTTCTAGGTCCGCCCATGACTCCTGCTCTCCAGGAGCTATAGGCTTGGTGGAGGATATTGCCTCCCCCAGGTGGTACCCTAATCTCTTCATATTGGAGAGAAGCTGTGGAGAGAAGCTGTGGCAGGAGTGCTGCCCAGAGGACAGGAAGCAGGGTCTCCCAGCTGCTCTCTCTGCACAGGAGGCTGAGCAGTGGGGGTGCGCTGGCTTTCGAAGCCTCCTCTGAAGCTGTCCCCTCTGGCCTCTCCCAGGTACGTTCGTCTCGGCCTTCACTGTGCTGTGCGGGGCACGCACTGACCTCCCAGACAGGCACGTGTGCTGCGTCTTCTGGCTGAATATCGCCGCGGCCCTCATCCAGGTGCTGACAGCCATAGTTATGGTGGGCTGGATCATGAGCATCTTCTGGGGCATGGACATGGTCATCCTCGCCAGTGAGTAACTGCCGGTGTGCTCTGAGGGCGGAGCGGGGTGGGGCCTGGCTGCAGTACCAGAGCTGTGGAGGCAGCCTGGGAAGAACAGGAGGCCTTCACATGGGCCAGGACCTCTCACCCCAAAGACACCCGCATCCTTGGACACAGTTTGCAAGGCCACGCTTGTTCCTCTGTCCTGGTGCCATGCCCACCTGGTCCAGAGCCCTCTCTCTACCATGCAGGGTGGGTCTCCAAGAGAGGGTCCCTCTCCAGCCAAGGCACCACTCACTGCATTTGTCAAGGAAGCAGCCATCCCACTGAAACTGGGAAGCTGGTATATTCAGAATGAGGTCAGTCTCCTGGCCCATGGTTCTGTGTCTCCATCACAGTTTCTTCTAGGGGAAGAGCAAGGTCACACACTGTCTTCACCCACAGGAAGCTGTGTAACCTCTTCACGGGGTTCAACTACACTCTTTGGTTGGTTGGTGCCAAAGCCTTACCGGTTAGTCCTGACTATCATTGAAGGCATTAATGAGTCACCGTCACTAATGCAAAAATCAGTTTGGGCACAAAAGTGTTTTGTGGAAGTATATAAAGTTACAGAATCAAATTCACCAAAGACAAATGATGATTTTAAAAATAACCTGGCAGAGTCTTAAATAAGACATCACCTGTCTTGAACAGCTGCTTCCCTGTACCCTCATTCCTGTTCCTACCTCCTTGGGTGGAGGGGCTCAGTGGCTGGGGCCACATCTCCTCCATCATTTTGTTCTTTGTATCCGCCCCCCCCCAGCTGCTACTCCTCACTGGGGTCCCAGGTTGAATTGCCAGTAAAGACGCAAGCCGTACCAGGTGAGGACCCTAGAGGCAGGAGGAAAAGCCAAGACACAGAGGCCATAGAATGATCTAGAATAGTCTAGAGCGATCCAGAACGTAATTAGCCTCAGCTGGTGCTCCTTGGAGGATGCAGAAGCTCAGACACACACAGCGCTAGGACCACCACACACCAGAGAAGGCTCAGATGTCAGCCTGGTGGGACTCAGAGTGGGTGGCCAGGACGTCAGAACTGACGGCAAGTCTTCCCGGAATTCAGAGAGGAAGTCAGTGGGGTGGACTGTCAGGACGCCCCATAGGTAGAGCCAACCCAGCAGATGGCAGCAAGCCAGGGCAGGAGGAACGCCAGGCGGCAGTGGGGTACCCCTGTCTGCTGCGGGGAGCTGCCAGCTCCCTCAAGCCACATCTGATGACCTCCTGTACCCGGGCTCACTCACACTGTTGAGGAGGGTCAGAGCATCGCTGCTAGGAGAGAGGTACCGCCATGCGTGCCACCAGCCACGGGGAGTCCCAAAGGTAGTGTAGAGACTTCCAAGGGGACACTAGGCCACTTCCCCAGGGACGCGCGGGAGGTCTGCAGGCCCCAGATCCCATTCCCGGCTAGAGCCTGGAAGGTACGGCTCCTCTAGAAGGCCTGGGAAGCTATGCCATCTTCATACCCTGGGCTTGTCTGCTCATTAGACCGGGGTCATTGCTGGGCCTTAGGAAGAGTGTTAGTCAGCTCTGTGTTACTGTAACGAACGCCCAGGATAAATCAACTCATCAAGAAAAAAAAAGTTTCATTACCCAGAGTTTTAGGGGATTCAGTCCAGGGTTGGTTGGCCTTGTGGCTCTGAGTTTCGATCAGACAGCACTTCGGGCAGGACAGAAGCCACTCACTCACTTTATGCCTGGGGTCGGGGGAGGGAAGGAAAGAGAAGAAAGACGGGTCTTCATATCCCCCTTCAAGGGAATGCCCCAAGTAAGCCAAAGACTTCCCATTAGCAGACCAAGATGTAATACCTGGCCTTCAGGGGGCCTTCCAGGTCTGCAACGATGGTGATGAATATGCCAGGCGAGGTTTCAATAATTGTGTTGAGGCTGAACTGGATTCTGGCAGCTTCCCGGAGGCTGACCTCCCCTTGGATTACCGCCATTGAACCCATGGCATGCCAGGACTGCCATGTCACAAATGAGCTCAGGACCCCAAGTAACACATCTTAAACTTAAAAGGTCACGAGTTGAACTACTGCATGTCAGAAATCGTCTGCACTTGTTTTTGGTCTTCTTTATTTTCCAGAATCGAGGGATCTAGAACAAAGCCTTAAGCTCAAGAGTGTTCCCGTCAACCCCACATGAGATAACACAGATGTGTAGACGGAGGTCCATGCCCTGCCTCCCTGTCTCCCAGGCTGCTGACTTGGCTGATGGAGGAGCAGGATGTGCAGATGGCAGGGTGTTCGGCCCAGGCCCTCCTTCTTGCCCTCTCAGCTCCCTTGGGGGTTGCTCAGCCTCTTGGTTGTCTGGGACATATCCAGGAATACTGTCTTGGCACCCAAGTTTTCACCATGATTTCTGGAGGCTACAAGAAGAAAATTGACCCCTGCTTTCTCTACCCAGACTACCAGACACACCCACCAGGCTCAGCAGCCATTGCCTTCTCGCCTTTTGTAAAAACTGCACTCACCCTCAACAGATGAGGTGGGCTAGACTGCTCCGAGCAGCCATGTTTGGGGAGCCGTCTTGGGACAGCTGCAACTGACTTGGTCCCAGGAACAGCTGGGTAGAGGCTTGTTCCCCTGGCATCACTCACATAGAAATATAGGTTGGGTTTCACACGGCACCTTTGTTGTGCCACCAGCAAACACAGTATCAAATAAAAACTTCTGAGAACAGTCACAAGCACAAAAGCTTCATCTGTGTTATAACGAGTGGAAACAGTCACCGCGGCTTGTCTTGATCACTGGTCAGTACTTGACTGACAGCTCTCCCGACTGCTCTTTCTGTTGCTACATCCATACCAGACACTGGCAATCATTTAAGACATTTGTCTCAGCACAAGGTTCCAGGCAGTCATTACCAATTGATCCAGGATATCTGCAAAATGTTTTCCATCCTAAGGTCTTCCCCAAAGCAGCAGGCTTTATCAATGTGGGTCCAGTCCACAGAAAGGACAGACCATAAAGCCTGGACAGAGCTGGCCTGGGACCAAGGCAGGTCACCATGGCATCTTTAGTTTGTCAGGCACACCTGCTTTGTCTGTCCCTCTTCTAAATCATCCAGAACGCACTCTGAGAACAGGAGCTGGGAGTTGGGGGGAGGTAATGAAGAAGGAATGAAGACAGGAGGAGAGCAGGGGTATGGGCATGGCTGAAGTGGGTACTGGGCAGACAAAGGCAGGAATATGTGGTACAGGTGGAGTGCTGGCCACATGGTGGTCACGGGGAATACCAGCCCCCCCCCGCTGAAGCCCTGCCCTTGCAGTGTCTTTGGTAGAGCTTTCCACCCCCATTTTACATCCCCAGTGCTTTGCCTTCTGTGTTCAGACTGTTTCTTTCTCTCTCTCTCTTCTTCTGCTGCCTTGAATCCCTGCTGCTGCAGTCTCCCAAGGTGAGTCTGTTGGTAGGTAAAACCTCTCTCCTGCACAGACACCCCACCCTCTTAGTTGGTTAACTGTTGATTGTATTTTTAGCTTTTCTTTGGAGAGGAGGGCACCTAGCAGAATGGGTCCCTAACAGCCAAACCATCTTTGGCCACGCTCACCTCTTCCAGCACGGGGTTGTTATCACCCAAGATTGATAGATGGCCTGCTACACAGAGAGGGACCCAGTCAGGGCCCCTGGGGCATACCTCCTCGGACCAAAGTAACCGGCTGGCAGAGCCACAGCTCGATACACCTGCTAGCCCACCTCTGTAATCTTACCCAGCCAGGTTGGCAACGAGTCTGACATCAGTGCTCCCACCTTCCCAGGGAAGGATGGGGTTACAGCCAGAGGTGAGGCCCTGGTGAGTGTGTGTGAGGACCTGGGTTTCATCTCTGAGGCCGGAAAACAAAAAGCTTGTGATTAGCAATGATGCTCTGAAGACTCAGTGTGCTCCAGTCTTATTCCTGTCCCAGCTATCCAGCTAGCCGAACATACTCCAGACAGTTGTTCCCTTCCTGGGTTTGCCAGCCTCATCCATCCCTCCATCCCTCCATCCATCCATCCCTCCATCCCTCCATCCATCCTTCCTTCCTCCCTTCCTTCTTCCTTTTCCTTCCCTTTTCCTTCCTTCCTTCCTTCCTTCCTTCCTTCCTTCCTTCCTTCCTTC